TTTATATTACTATGAAGTCTTTCTGAAGCTACATTTACTTATCTGAGAAAAAAAATCCCATGGGAAGAATGTCGTCATTGTGTTTTTCCCTGGAAACATTGGAAGCCAGGGAGATGGGAGATGGCTGGAGAGGTGATTATACCGTGGAAAACAGGCTGTTCGCTTGTACCCCTTAGCTAGCTTGTTATTAAAAGAAATGCATGAACCCCAGCAAGGTAGATTCACTAAAATTAACTTCCCCCTTGAAAAGAACACTCAAAAGCAAGTTTCTTTCATCGAACTGATAGAGGGGAAAAGAGCAGGAGAATTTTCTTAACCTGACACAAGGCAAAATACCGGGATCAAGTATAGCTTTTTAAGAGCCTATTCTTAGTAGTTAGTAAGCAGGCCTAGAGAACAGCGCAGCCAGCTACCTGGGCACCAGGTCAAGAGCTGTTCCTGCACCACAGGGGATCAACATCTTCTACGCTCCTTAAATCTAGGGAGCCAGTCAGTATAAACAGCTTCTTTTGCTGAGGCAGATATCTGCAAATTAATACAGCTTTTGAACTGCAGATTAATGGTTGGAATGCAGGAGGTGCTCAGGCCATTAATATGTTATTAAGAGGTAATGTAAAGAAAAGAAAAGAAAAGAAAAGAAAAGAAAAGAAAAGAAAAGAAAAGAAAAGGACTATCATGGTAACTTTGAAGGACACTTCCATCTCCAGTTCCCTAGGAGAAAGAAGGGCTGCTGTGTGATGAGGAACAACCCAAGCCAAGTGGGGTTTGGGTTTTCAAACTTCATTAATTAAATCCAAATTTCATAGAATTTGTTGAAGAATCTATTAGCAATCAAGTTAAATGGATATTTATCATCTCTATAATGCAGCTCGCACTGCAAATTAAATCTGATAACTACCATCTGATGATTTCTCTCCTTCCTCTCCTCACTTTTAATTCTGCATGTTCTAAAAAGAGGTATGATATTTAAATATCCCTCACTAACCCATATGTCCCTGATGGTTTCAGGCTAACCTATGTGTTAGGAAGAATCCATAGCTGAGTGGTAGAAGGTCTTAGATTTTGATCTCCAGCACCTTCAGGTAGTCCTGGAAAATCCCTGCTTAAAACCCTGGAGAGTCTGCTACTCAGTATCAACCATGCTTTATTTAAATGGATCAAGGATCTGATTCATTATAACTTCTCATCTTCCTTCTGCTTAAACCCAAGAACAAATTGATTTTGGAAAATGGAAACTAGTAATAAGCAGTTAAATTGATGATAGTTAAGCTAATAACATATCAAGATGCTGACAACCATTATCAGCATTTTGTGATATATGGAGATAGGTGATGAGTAATCTTCCTAGGGTCTCTATTAATGATAGCTCTTTAAATAGAATGTGAGCAATATTAGGAGTTCCATATTAATCAACTGAATTGTGAATTTCTAATGCTGATTTTTTTTTTTTGGAGAAAGGTCTTGAATTTTATATCCTAGCAGATTTTAATGTATTAAGGATGTAGTCCTTTATGTATGTAGCTGAGTATCAGAGGTAGAGGTCTCTCCAACCCAAGGAAGCAGATCTGAGATGATCTACTCTAAGAAAGTAGATACTAAGGTACTTTGCCATTCTTAACAATGTAGAGGGTTCAAGTCAATTGATGGTCAGGCAAAGGCAGGTTCATTCATGAAAAAAAGTGGTCACAGAAATAAGACTTTCCTTGCAAGTAGGAAAACTCCAAGGCCATCTGCTGCACCTTGGGTGGGATTCTGAATGTTCAGACTTAAGGCTCATCTTCACATCCTCACATCCTGCATGCTGGGGCATGAAGATACTTTCTAACTATTTTTGAGAGACAGATCCTCATGATGTTACCTTCATCTCATCCCCAACCTGCTTCCGAAGCAGCCTGGAGCTATATTTAGTTGTTCCAGTTTGGCAGTGGTGTTTTCCTCCTCCTCCTGATATACAACTTCCCTTCTGGACAACCTAGGGTGCTCTGGGGACAAGTCAGGGGATGATGAAGTCAGGGGCAGTGATTTGGGCAGCTCCAGTTGGCCTGGATTGCATGCACATGTGTGTATGTGGTTGAGACGTTCATAAAGAAGAGAGAGCATCTGACATACATACATGCAACACAAATGTGGAATGGGGGTGGGAATGAAGAGGGATGATTCCTAAAGAAATCAGCTTTTGGAGGGAGAAAAGAAAGACAATTCCAGAGGCGCAATGCCACCAAGACCTTTGTGGTTCAAGCTTCTCTGCTTTGTATTTCAAATCAGGAGATTGATAGTCCTATCAGAAGAAGCCACAATGAAAAATAAAAATTAAGATCTGAATCCCCAAGCTCGCCCTCCACATGTGCAGGATAATTATTGCTGGATGGTTTCCCTCCCAGTAACTGACACTGGGGA